GCACCCTGCGCCTCATGTGTGGGATGGCGCTCAAATACACCCTTGCTCAAGTCTGAATGAAATGCCACCCTGCTCCCTGACCAATTGTACCCAGGCGCTCAAAATCCTTGGTAATGAAATGCCGGGGCAGGTTGGTATCTGGATTGCCAGGGTGCAAACACCTGGGTACAATTGGTCAGGGAGCAGGGTGGCATTTCATTCAGACTTGAGCAAGGGTGTATTTGAGCGCCATCCCACACATCCACCCCACATAAATGACTGTCTAGAGATGGGGCACCACCACCATCCTGAGGCCAGGCTCCACTCAGGACAGTGGCTGTTCTGTCTTTATTTTTTATTTTTTTTATTTTTATTTATTTTTATTTTTTTTTCCAAGGATTTTGACAACACCCTGTAGCTTCTGCATGCAGGAGCAGCAGCACCCGCTGATAACCGGGGTGACTCAGTGTCGTCACCATTTCAGAATATAACCGTACCGACGGTACCGTCCCAAAAAAACTGCCAAAAATGTTGAAAAAACTTGAAAAAATGAGGATTGACGGCCTGTTCATGTCTTTCAAAAAAAAAAAAAAAAAAAAAAAAAAGGATTGACGGCCCAGTTCAGCAAACAATCAGACCAATCCAAAAGCTGCAAAGCACACCTGAATGCAACGGAGGAGAAAGTCAGACGATTCCCCCCCCTGAGCACCCTTTTCCAAGTTTTCCCCAGAAATTGCGCAACCAGCAAGTCCCTTTTTCCTTATTGAGGACAAATTTTTGAGGAGTTCTTGCAGCGAGAGCTTGCATGGTAAGTCGTAGAGGAGACTTCGGGCGGAAAAAAAAAAAAAAAAAAAAAAAAGTATTGCAGAGAAACCTTCACCGAAAGGCTATCATGATGGTCCTCATTGGCACTAAGGCCTGGACTCCACAGGAAAAACCTCAGAAATGTTTCCAACTTTGGGTTTCCATGGAAACCCGGCTGGAAAAGTTCGCCTGCGGAAAGGCGGGACCCCACCGGAGAGGCTGGAAAACACAGTTTCCAGGAGCTTGGAAAGTCTGGAAACTGCAAATGGACGGTGCGGTGGTCATGGATGTCCGCCCCTGCTTCGACAGACCACTTCGTGGGTGTCCGGAGGTGCGGCATTGTTCAGCGAGGGCGCGGGTACCGGTTCCGTCCTGGCGGGGAGTCGTTTGTGGGTGACAACAGAAAGTCCGTCTACCGACCGTGCAGGCTCGGACCACGGTTGGACCAGCACTTTCCAGAAGAAGTTTCCAAGAGAGAGATGCCCCCCCCCCTACCCTCTCGAAATGGCACAAAATTCCGGCGCAAGATGCTCGCTTGCCGCCACGACACCACGATACGAAAGTGAAAACACGGAACTCCACTTTTCCGGACAACCTTTCCGACGCGGTGGAGTCTCCGAAAACAGCCAGAAACTCCCACAATCGAGTTTCCAGACGGCCATTTCCTTCCGATGTACTCCCGGAAAAGTTTTTCCAGGCCATCTTTTCCAGGACTTTTCCACGATTTTGTCCTGTGGGGTCCAGGCCTAAGTCTTCCACCCCTGCTGACTTTTGTGTGTGACTTTTCCGGCGTAGTTGGAAACCTATGGCTCGACATTACCTGGAACTACATCGATGGTTAGACTCAGAGGAGACTTTGTGGCAAAAACAGGCCCCGGAGAATGCTGTCCCACAGTCCGTAGAGGAGAATGTTTGAATCGCTGTTTCAATGGGGTGTTGGAGTTGACGTGATGTCAGGCTGTGGCAACAATGCAACACCATATCTTTCACCGAAAGGCTATGATGGGCCTCATCGGCACTTCCACCCCTGCTGCCTGCAGCGTGTGACTTTTCCAGCGTACTAGTTGGAAGCCTATGGCTCAGCAGTACCTGGAACCAGATAGTCCCAACCCAAAAGAAACTAGAACCTTGACTGTCCTCCGCGCCACGGCATGCTCTGGCAAGCATCAGATTTGTGGGGGATGATGAACAAAGACTGTTAGTGCATGAACCCTCAACTCAATTGAAGGGCCTCAACTCCAGTCAGGCAACTCCCTTTTGACCCCATTAAATGGGTGACAGTGGCCAGGGGACCCTCCGATGATGATGGTCGGGAAGTCTTAGACTGGAAAGATAATTTAGTAAAAGGGGCCTACAGACCATGCCATGGCACCACGACCAGCACAGAGTAATAATCTAGCATTTGGATAGAGATCCACCACTTCGTAGTCATGCCTTTGAGAACTTCTCATGGGTACCTAAGGCTTATTCCCTGTCTGATGCCGACCGCACCCGGTCCGGTCATCTTGACCTGCAGAGGCAGACTTTGAACAGATGGCTGCCCAATGCAGACGGGTTGGTCTCCAAATCAGACCTGGAACAGAGACTCTGAGACATTCCTTTGCTCGTTTAAGCTTACTGCAGCAAGTTCTCTCAGCCAGTGCGAGCCACACGGGAGCGTACCGGTTGTCTTCTGGCTTCTCAGATGACTTCCGAGAAATGGTGGTGGTGGGACGTAGCATGGCAGTTAGTTCCTAGTTGGCTCCCATTTGCCGGGGGATGCCGGATTGTTACGGCGACTGTCTTGACCCGAATAGAATGCCTGGTCGTTATGGCTGCATCTGGATTGGATTGAAAGTTGCCCCAAATACGGCTATAATGACCGGGCGTTCTATTCGGGTGAAGACGGTATGGGGAATACACCACCTCGCCTGACAATGGGGTGCTTGTGCCACTAATCTGTTTGCCTGTACTCCCCTGACAGTAGTGATGATGACTTGGGGTCATAGATACGCGTTTGAAGGAAGGAGCACACATTTGGCTTCCCACAAGCACAGAGAGAGGACGGTACTGTCAGGACACACACCTAGGAAGTCTGGAAGGCTATGAAGAAAGAGCTCCCGTCTGAAAAGGAACTGCAATGATCCGACTCGATTTCAAACTCCAATGGAATCCATGCAATGCATGCATGCCACTAAAAGTTCATGCAACACTCACAACATCAGATCAACGAGATACGCATGAGCTGGGAAAAAAAAAACTATGGAAGGCTATGAAGAAAGAGCTACAGTCTGAAAAGGAATTGCAATGATCCGACTCAATTTCAGACTCCAATGGAATCCATGCAAGGCATGCATGTCACCAAAGTTCACGCAATTCTCACAGCATCAGAGCAACGAGATATTCATGAGCCGAATCCAGAATTATCATTCCCATAACATGAAATTGTTCAAGTTCCATGCTCATAGCACATGGCATTGCTATGACCACCAGGTCATCACTCACACACAGGTACATAAGGCTTAGCTCTCTCTCTCTCTCTCTCTCTCTCTCTCTCTCTCTCTCTCTCTCTCTCTCTCTCTCTCTCTCTCCCCCCCCCCCCTCCCCCCCTCCCCCTCCCTGTCAGCTATGGTGGTCGTCTTCTTCGTTGCTCTCCCTAGCTATGGGGCCTCGCCGCCTCGGCCCCGGCCTCTGAGACTCCAACATCTGTCCAACCAGTTCCCTTGTACAGTTGCACAAGGCTCACTGAGAGACCTGGCTGCGCTAGCACTAGCACCCCGACGCCGGTGGACCGGTAGGCTCGGTTCTCTCGGCTCGACTAGCGCCTGGGGAGGTAAGATCCCGGGCTGCTAGGCCTGTGCACGCGCCCAGCAGTAGCGCGTGGCTCTTCGATTGCCGTGTGGCATCTGCTAGGGACGTGAATGTCCGCGACGCGCGGGCAGGGGTAGCGCCAGCAGTGAAGACCGATGACGAATTGCAATACGTGGCGCAGCAATTTGGGTGAGGGATGGAGATGGTAGGGGAGCTACAACGTGGAGCATTTGGACTACAGGATACGCTCGGTGACAATGAAGATGACGTCTCGCTTACAGAAGACGTTGAATGTGAGCAAGATGATGATTGCGATGTGCTCCGCAATTATACAAATATCTGCGCTATGTGTGAGATCTGGGAATCTGAAAGAGAGACGACCTGTGCTGTTGCTGTGCGTGAGAGTGATGAGTATGAGGGGGGGGCAGGAGAAAGGTGGGCTAACTTGATGGCACTGTCCTACCACGTTGAGAAGGAGAGTGCAGTTGGTGATGGAGAGAGGGAATATGCCGCTGATGATGAGAGGGGGGAGAAGAAAGGTGGGCTAACTTGATGGCACTGTTATATGCCGCTGATGACACAGGTGAGTGGGAGGTTAGGGATGAGAGTGCAGTTGGCGATGGGGAGGGGGAATATGCCACTGATGACGCAGGTGAGTGGGAAGGGGAGTGGGGGCTATTGGCAACAGTGGAAATGGCGGAAGCGGCAGCGGCGACGGCAACAGTAACAACAATAACATCTACAACAACAATATTGGAGGTGGAGCAGGGGTTGGCAGAGGAGAGGCAAGGAACGGGCTGGATTGGCGAGAAGGGTGGGATGGTGGACAACAACAATGACAATAACAACAATGACAACAACAATAATAGCAACTTTAACAACGGCGACGACCGGCGAATGGGCCAACTGGATGAGATAGGAGTGAAGGAGGATAACAACAACAACAACAACAACAACAACAACAACAACGACGACGACGACGACGGCGACACCAACGCGATGTAGGAGAGGGGAGAGAACATCAATGACATGGAGGAGAGGAGAGAACGCTGACAACAACCACAACAACAACAACAAAGTTAGCAAAAACAACGAGATGGTTGAGATGGGAGAGGATGTTGACAACAACAACAATAACAACGATAACAACGACGGTGAGCAGGGACTGGGGGAAAAGGGCGAGGTGGGTGAGATGGATGCCACGGACAACAACAACTACGGCAACACGGGAGAGATGGATGCCACGGACAACAACAACGACGGCAACATGGGAAAGATCCCGCCATCAGTGCAGTGGGGGGGATTTTGTAGCTTGTTGTGGCTGGCGAAGTAGGGTTTGAGGTTGAAGGTACGATTTAATGTTCCCCCCCTCATCTCCTCTTTTCTGGCATCCGGTAGGGATAGGATAGATGATCTCCCTGCCATGATTATGGTTGATCTCTTCTTACCTTTCAGACCCTCAACTCTTAATCATGAAATGATTGTTGACGATTATCCTTGTTATTGTTGGTGAACATATGCACAAAATGACATCGATACACAGCTATACATGTCATGGTATTGGAGATGTAAGTTTTCTGAGCAGGAGGTCAATCCTTCCCCTGCGTTGGGAAGTAATCAGTGCCTCTGCTCCTTCTGGTGACATCGCTGAGCCAAGTACATATACAGTCAGTTCGCATACATCATACTATGGAGATGCTGGACCCGGTTTCCAGCTCACATAGAGTTCATCAATACAATTGGGCTTGATGCCTCGCTTACTATAGTGCTATGCTAGGTTAGAGGATAGGGTTCTCCCTTCCGGGGACATGTATTAGTCGATGAATGAAGACAGGCCGTTTGGATGTTGACTCATATGGATTGTTGTACACATACAGACCGTTTCTGACGGTACTAGGACAAAGTACACACCACTGTATAGGGGCGCTGGACCCGTGTTCCAGCTGTCAAACATCACGTCAGTGTTATACGTATCACATCATGGTTAGGGTTCCGTCTGATAGATAAGATTGGGTTTGAATCCTCAGTTTGTTTTGGAGATACTGTGGATCAGATGGATAGGGTCTCCCATCATCCCCCATCATCTGACATATAATGCCTAACGTGCACACATAGCTAGTCGGAGATATCATCACATCTCTGCATTGGGACGCTCGACCCGATTTTCAGCAGTTACATTCACATCACTGCACAGGGACGCTGGACCCGTTTTCCAGCAGATACATTTTCATCATTGTACAGGGACGCTGGACCCGATTTCCAGCAGGTGTAGCTCCCCACCAATAGATGGAGCCTTCGATGCAGGTCCTACTTACCGGGGATGCTCTTATCACCAGGTCCTCGCTAAGTAGGTTCCCCATATACGAAGTTCAAAAAAAAAAAAAAAAAAAAAAAAAAAAAAAAAGTACAGTCGCACAAGGGTTCAGCAGCCCTTCCACAACTGGCGAATTGACAAGTGAGTTCCTCAAAGTACAGTAGACAAGTGAGTTCCTCAAAGTACGGTAGCTCTATAAATAGCAGCCAAATTGATATCTTTGTCAGCTGACCGGTAATCTCCCAAGGCCTATCAGCTGCAGTTTTGCCCATTATGGAGCCCACCAGACTTTCCCAAGATGCTGCTGCTAATTTTAGACTGGGACTCCTTTTGTCAGGTACTGGGCCTACGTGACTCCTAAGGTCTACTGGGTCTACAGAGCAGCGTTTTGGCCGCAGGGCCTGCAGAGTCAGTTACTTTTATCATGGGACTGGGACTCGGGGCTCGGGACAAAGACTGAGACCAGTGAGACGTGAATTTCAGAATCAGAGGCCAGGGAAAATACAGTGGAAGCATTCCTGGACCAACAATTTGGGTTGAGCCTAAAAGAAGAATCGGTGATTTGGATGGCAATAACAATCTAGTATGGAAGCAATGGAGCACACAGAGCCAGCGGCAACAACTTCCCCTGAAACACGTTGAGGTGCTGTTCCTGCCAACTAACTTCATGTTTATCTCCTTGCCTCCCTCCCTTCCGCCCCTCCTTACCTATCACTTCTCAATTCTCTTCGCCTCCCACTCCCCCCGCTCTCCTCTTCCCCCCCCAGCCCTCCTCCTCCTTCCCTTCCCTCTCACCCCTTTTGACGCTATTTGCCAACGATGCCTTCTCTTCCACTATCCCCACTCTCACGTTTGTTCCCACGTTCATCCCTGCCCAACCAATCTTGAACCATAAGGTGGTCTAGTGTGGGAAGTCCGATACCAAGAAGTTGAAGCCTTGGGTGTACTAGACCTTAGGGTATACAGGATAGGTGTAAAGAAGAGCCAGGAGCAAAGTGAGGGGGATGGGAAAGCAGTTGTAACAAATGTCAAATGATGATGAGTGCATAGGCAGTAGATCCCAACCTCCAGGATAATCAATACTGTCTATGCAGCTGGAGAAATTTACAATTGTACGTGTGCAAAGAGTCTATCTTTCACACCAGCTTGATTCTGTAGCATGCATGTAACTTTAGGCAAGCCTTCACATGAGACAACCAAGAAGTAATTTTAAGTTCAAACTTGTGCAGTACAGCATATCTCTTATCCTCCGGCAGCAAGGGCTTCAATGAACAACCGCGAGAAGCAGGTATGTCTCTCTATCTTGCCCTCTCTCTCTCTCTCTCTCTCTCTCTCTCTCTCTCTCTCTCTCTCTCTCTCTCTC